GTGTAATCAACTTATCAATAAATTATACATTATTCATCCGGTATATGTGCTCCCAATTGGAAAAAATACTTTCCGTTTTGATGTCATATTTGCCGTTTCCGGCTCCGCTTGCTTATTGGAATACAATATTTTTCTAACGATGACATTTTTAAAATGCCATAGGATGCCTGCGATTGTGTGTTGTTATACACATACACATGTATGTACGTACATATGTACGTGTGCAATTCCATTCCATTGAAGTATGCATTACATTTAACATTGCGTAACATTGGCGGTAAGGTGTGTGGGCTTCTCCTTTTTAATTAAAATATGACTCGCAGCGTTTCGTTTTGCCTCTGTTACTTTTCAAATTCTACTGCCCGTCAGTATCCGTTAACCTTTGTTCTACCTATCGTCCGGGTAGTGTTGTCGTGCTTGGATGCAGAGTTGTATTTAAGTAGGGTCCCACATATAATGAAGCCAAATGCAATTGACAAGTCGGACTATTGACATGATCTTTGTAATTCATACCGAACCTCCTGAAAAATCCATGTGAACTTCATCGAAAATGCAAAAAGGAGAATTTAGTTGCATGAATTGCCAATTTGGCTTGCAAATTATCCCCAGTATAGCTCCCTCTGACTGCTACCAACCCTATGCAAATCGGTGAGCGGTGAGGGATTATGTTCGAGTGAAGAAACCTACTACTACGCTAAAACGTACATTTTGAGCTAAATCTTAATAGGTTTCCATGCTGCTCTCGTACACATATGTATCTATCTACTCCTTTTTGTCAAATTGAATCAGTGGTACAGCTTCGTTTACGAAGGGTTAAGTTAGTTGCCAAATAAATAAATATAATGAGGTACCTGAATTCATAGTATACTTACATACTTATTTAAGTACTTACTACATACATATAATGTTACCACATGTGACAACGTACAGATAAAAATAAAATGAAATAAACTGAATTACTTAGAAGAAAAATAATAAATGTAAGTCAGTCCACCTATACAACAATATTAGAAAAAGTATGTGTATAGCTTAAGATGGGATGAGTGGATGTAGATAATAAGAAAAAATAACAGCAGGCTTATATAAGAAGATATATGGATGAAGGAAAGTAAAGTATAATATGGCTATAATGACAACTAAAGTTGAAGTTAGTGAAATGGAATGGGATAATACGTGAGACTTGGTAGGAGTGTCGAAATCAGTAAAGGAAATAGTTTGACCCCACATTGGGGATGAATTTTATTTGAATCAGAGTTTTGTGGAGATAATAAAGTATTAAAGTAAAAGGGTGGGGAGCACATGCTGCCATTATTACCATATAAATTAGTTATTCTGGTGCAAAATTGGAGTTATATTTATAAGAGAAAAACTTTGAAAGTGGTGTAGGAGTAAAGGTCCATAAATATAGTAACTACGTACTTATACACATAAGTTGTGTTAGCTAAAGGCTTAAATGTGTATAAACATGAGCATAATGCTTATAATAAATAACTTATATACGTCAAGAAACTGTAGGGGNAGCAAGTAGAGCAAGTTCGAAAATACCCCTTTTGTTGTAAGTGCTCTCTAAAATTGTTTAACCCTCATTCGATGCAACTTACACAATTTATTGACTACGTACAAAAATTTAAATTTTATGCAAAAATTGTAATATTTTTATTTATTTAAAGGAAACTAAATTATATTTTTATTTCTTCAAAATTTTTAAATAAAGCACAAAAAATTAAAATTTTGTGCAAAAATTAGAATATTTTTATTGATTTAAGCAAAACTAAAATTATATTTTTTCTTATTCAAAATTTGTAAATAAAGTGCAAAAAAATAAAATTTTGTGCGAAAAAAGGAATAATTTTATTTACTTAAAGGAAACTAAGTCATAAATTAAGTTAAATAAATTTAACATTCATCCGACAATTTTTTTTTTGAAATTTCATGACCATGTAACTTTTATGTTTTTTTTTTAAAGAAATGAAATTTTGTTGATTTGTGCAAACTTCTGTATCTTTTAAAAACCGGCCTTTCTCTATTCTGATAGGAATAACAATAATTTTTTTAACATTGCTGAAATATCACACATACAACGCCCATGTAGGTTTTTTAATTTAAACTATTTCGCGACTGTAGTCTAGATTTAATAAATACAGTTTAAAAGATATAGAAGTTTAACACAAATACAAAAAACTACATTTCTTCTTAAAGAAAAATCGTAGGAGTTACGTGATCATAAAATTCCAAATTTCACCCCAACATCGCATGAGGGTTAAGATTTTTATTTATGTAATCGTACATTTAAATGCTGTACAAATACTAACTACTTATTGCCTCACTGAATATTTTGTATTTTTCTTGCAGGAAATGGATTTCGGCACCATAATGTGCTGGGCGGATAATAACGTTGGTCAGCAAAAAGAGCCATGCGTTTTTCATCTAATCGCCGCTGGCAAGCCAGAAATGCCAGCCAATTGTACAATGTTCAATCAAACATCGGATTCGTTGGAAGTTTTTTGTGTTGAAGGTAAGTAAGCATTTGAGTATGGAAAAATTCTACAAAAAGGTGTGAAGTGGAACTTTGCTCAGTTTTAAACGGACTTGCTTTTATAACTAGTTTTACTACATAAAGAAAGTTGAATCGTAAAACTGGATTACATACATACAGAGTTCAGAACTTTTTCGGCACCATTTCCTACTCCTTCGGTACTTTTTCGGGACTATTTAGTTCCAACTGAGTCACAAATTGGCTCTAAAGTAGTCCTAAGTAAAAACTTTTATAATTTAAGTCTCAAAATAAAAGACTTTGAAGACTTAAAAAAATGTATCTCGCTGATAATTATTATAAGAAGACTTTTACACTAGACGCCTGCGAATAATAGTTACCAATGACTTTAAAACTTTTCTGTTTGCAATTTTTTTCAAAGTTCATTGCATACTGTTTTGAAGTCAAAAAGGAAGAAAATTAAAAACGTACTACACTGGAACGTCCTACGTTTAAAAAAGGTCAAGGTAATTTTTGTATCCAAAGAGATTATTTTTCCACATTTACCTATTTCAAAATCTTTGAAATGCTGTTAAATTTCCACACCTCCGCCGACGCCAGTGTGACCACAACAAAATAATACTTCTATTGTTCTTCGAATTGTGGTTATTTAACAATTGTAAATGCAAATAAATATATTTATTTTTCCATATTGACTGTTAGATGGCCCCCCTTCAAACGAAAATATAAAATGTAAACTTTTATGATAAAATCGCTTAACATGCAGTGCAATAAAGTTAATGAAGCTAGAAACTGCAGCGTGAAATACTAATAGACCAACCGACCATAGAAAATAAAAAGAAAGAAAATATTAAGTGAGTCCATAAAGCAGGCAGGTCAGCTTTGGCCTTAAGTTCTATTAAAATGCAGCAAAACTTTTATCGCACTGCTCATTACCTTCCCCCCCCCTCCCCTCCCCAACTCTCCCCTCAAAATTAACAAAGCGGAAATAACTTTTTTTTACCCCCTTTCTGCAAAGCGAAAACAAAAAATAAAAAAAGGGATAAAAAGTAAAAGAAAATCTCAGTAGTCTAGCTAATAAGCTCACAGCTTAAGAAAAGAAAGCAGCAGAAAATTGCGTTTCTTCGTAAAATTGGAAAGGCAAAACAAGTTAAAGTTTCTGCAAGTTGAAGTCATGGCTTGATTAAGTAAAGTGGCCACTTCACAGGCTCATCAAACTTGCTTAATTCTTTTTATTTTTTTATTTATTTTTTTTTTGCCATCCTGCTCTATATTCTGCTCTTATATGGGTGTTATGTATTTTTATTTAATTAAACGGCTACTAACTAATAAAACCACATTATGAGTGTGAATGAATAAGTAACTAGAGGACAAGTTTTGCGCAAGTAAAAGTGAAGGAGTTGCTGTGAGCTAAAGTATANGCTACTAACTAATAAAACCACATTATGAGTGTGAATGAATAAGTAACTAGAGGACAAGTTTTGCGCAAGTAAAAGTGAAGGAGTTGCTGTGAGCTAAAGTATACTTCGACTATATTTTTATATAGCACAGATGGACTGAAATTGGCTAGTGTTGGTTGTTAGCTTTTGTTGCGAAAAAAAAGTATCTAAAGCTTAATTTGTTGCTTTGTTTTAACTTAGTAAAAAATAAGGGTTGTCGAGACTAAAATTTACCTATATAGGTTAAGGTCGTAAATAAGTAAGGATTTACTGCAGCACAAAGGAGACAATTCATGTGAGGCCACAAATTATATCTGGCTTCAGTGTGATCGAACACAAAAGAGTTCTTCCTTAAGCATTAAAGTTTCCGGCGACTGTTATGGTTTAGAGGGTTGTGAGCAAGGAAGGACATGCCATGCCATTCACAAATGGCCATGAAGACGGAAAATTGGAGATCGGAGAATTTTCATGATCCCATATCTCCAGAGCTATGGCTATCCAGCCGTGCAGATTTTAATCATTTGGATGACTATATATGAGGCGTTGCTAAATGTGGGACCAGTTAAAATTTCCATAATACCCCTGATTCTCTAAGAGCAAAAAAATTTCCAGACTAACGACTCATATGGACGAAATGCATTAGTTCGGGGTATACAAATGATTCTGACAGAAAATTGAGACAAGTAAATGCCGCTAACGCTGTCTTTGTTAGATAAATATATAGGTATTAGTCACTGGCTTGACTCTAAGAGTTTCAAAGAAATTTAGTAAATTTTCTATGGACTACGTAAATTCAAGTTTATAATTCGATATCGACTGCTGACGCAGTTTTTCATTTAGCTGATACGCGGTCTTGTACTTTAAACGACGATATACATATCGTATATAAAGTGTATATCGTCGTTTAAAGTGCAAAACTGCGTATCAACAAAATGCAGAACCGCGTATCAGCAAAATTGCAAAACCGCGTAATTGAACTTGTAGAAGTTATTAAAGCTTAAAAATGCGTATAGATGTGCAAATATATATGTAGGAAAATGCATGAAAATATAACTACATACGTATGAATAAGTTTTTGCCTTATACTAGGGTGTTCGATTATCCTCTTTTTCGAAACCGGTTTTTCGAAAAATGGTAATTTGAAAAAAACCGGTTCCCATTTTCAAATTAAGAAAAAACCAACCAAACCGATTTTGTTTTACATACCTTCTCTAATATAACACTTACCTTCTGTTAGTGAGAAATCGTGACCATAATTACAATATAACCGCTAAAAATAAGTATAGCTTTAATTTAGAATTAAATAATGCAAAATAAGTTCAAAGTAATTTGGGTTACAAACAAAACAGAAGAGTTCTTCCGGTCAAAAAACTGTTGCTTTAGCAATCGAGTCTACTTAAGATTAACTTATAGTTTTTTGACCGGAAGAACTGGATTATATATGTATAACAAAACCAAGCCCTTTCATTTTATACCTAATTTTTTTAAATTGACAAAAAATTCCTTCACGTATTTCATGTAAATTAAACATTTTTAAATAGGTGGCAACCCCACTAAAAAAGAAATAAAAGCTTATTGAACATCCGCAGACTATATCCTTTCACTTGGTATGTCATTTTTTAATCCAACGAACGGTGAAGATCTTATAATTTTTAAACAGGTGGTAACCCTACTCTAAAAATAACACATTATTGCTGATCTTGAGGACAAGCCCTTCCACTTGATACCTAATTTCTTCTAATCCAAAGAACGGTGCGGATATTATAATTTTTTTAGACAGGTGGCAACTCCATAGAAATTCTAAGTACTAAAAATAACACCCCCATTAAAAGGAAGGCAACAACTCTACTTAAAAAGAAACTTTTGACATCTGGAGGACAAGTCCTTTCATTTGACACCGCACTTTTTAGTCCAACGACCAGCCCACATCTTATAATTTATCCCACAGGCGGCAACCCTCTTCGAAAAAAAACAAAACCAAGCCCTTTCCTTTTATACCATTTTTTTTTTTTTATTAACAAAAAAGTCCTTCACGTATTTCATGAGAGGTAGTAATTTTTAAATTGGGGCAACCCCACTAAAAAAATAAATAAAAGCTTATTGAACATCCGCAGACTATATCCTTTCGCTTGATATCTCAGTTTTTTATCCAATGAACGGTGAAGATCTTATAAATTTTAGACAGGCGGCAACCACATAGATATTCTAAGTACTAAAATTCAAATCAATTCAGAAGCTTTCGAGATGAGGGTGGTAAAAAATAAATATAAAATTAATAAAAATTTTCAACAATTTTTATTGAGCTTTAGGCCATTTTTAATGAAAAATTTATTGTAGAAAAGCAACAATAATTTGAAAAAATAGTAGAAGTGATAGCTATTTCGGAAATCACCACATTTCCTCATCAAACTTCTTTCAGTAGGATTCGAACCGACGATCCCAATGACTCAGACAGTTGCCTACGCACTGTGCCAAGTTCGCCTTGTGAATGCTTGTTGCTTTTTTCCACTTTTTCATGTGTTGAGCCAATTACAATCAAGCGCAGTTATTCAATAAAATAAAATTATGAAGTCTAGATTCTGGTATATAAATAAACTATAGGTGAAAACTCGCTTTATTCCAATGCAAAAATACGGTTTACTCGGTATTCGAATAATAAATATTTCAAAAAACCAACTGAAAATATTTAAAAAAAAAAAACGGCGGAAACCGGTTGGAAAAGCCTAGTCAATCACCCTACTACATATATAAATGCATACATACATATTTATATGCATATAAATATGTAGCCTTTCATACATTCATATGTACATACATACGTTGTAAAAATGCATTCAAATGTAAGTGAGTGGCGGCGCGCATACATATTGCAGCAGTGCACTCAAGTTGTTCATGTTTTTTAAATGAGGCTCAGTTGGCGGAGCAGAGCAAAATCGAAAGCAGCAACAACAACAGCAGCAGCAAATACATTGCAATGCAGCTTATATGCATGCAAATGATGCACACATTCCTACCTACTCGAATTGCATTCGCTAGTATGACTGGCTGTAGTTACAGCTGCCTGTTGGATTTTTAGTTGTTCCTACCCTTTTACCACCCCATTATCTACCTTTTATTCACTCCTTCTTCTATCTCTTCCTGTCTCGCCTCTCCTTCATTCATTGTCCCAACTACTACATATTTAAGTTAGTGTTTGTGCTGTTGTGTGTTGTAGTTGTAGCTGTCAATGATTTTGTTGCACTTGTTATGCTTTCTGTTTTTTGTTTTTTGTTTTTTGTTTTTTTTGCCAAATGCTAGGAAACGTAAGTCAGTCGACTCGCAAGGCAGCCAGTAAAGCCAAGTACGTTTCCGTTACGAGTACTCGTAGAAGTTTCGTTAGCTAACAGTTGGCAGCTTAACTGTCTAAAACTACTTACTAAAAGGTGAGGGAGGTAGCTTTTGTTTGTTTGTGTTGTTTTGCTGTCTTGGTTGTTCGATTTAGTGTCGAGTTTTGGGGTTAATAAGGCCAACAAGTCGAAAAGTTTGCTGCCACTAGTACTTGACTTGACTTGGCTGAGTGAATTTCGTGTAGGTATGTATGTAGGTGTCAGTGTGCGTGCTGTGTACATATATATATATATTTAGTGCTGTAATTTTCAAAGATACATATTTTGTTTTTGCTGTTGATTGCCTTATTATGCGATTGTTGTTTTTGTATTAGCATGTTTTTGGTTTTTTGTTTCTTTTATATGTATTTTTCGTTACCTTAATGTTATCAGAGCTTTCCTTGCCATTCAATAAGAGCTTTACATTTTGCATTTGCGACTTGCACGGTTGCCTTGCCAATTGAACAGCACTCGTGACCCTTGCACTGGCATTGCGCATTTCAATGTAATACATACGTACATACATATATATGTATATATGTATACATATGTATATATATACATATACATATGAACGTATGTAGATAAATATAATAAATGTATGTAAGCTTTTTATTTATTTGATTTTTATTTACATTTGGCAATGCAAACAACTTTCGTTCGTCTGCAAATCGAATTTATTTGATTCAAGTTTACCTTTGCACTGCTGTAAACCAGAATATTTAAGGTATTCATTAAACTTTTAGTATGCTGCGCTGTCCATCGATCTTTCTTGCTCTCCCACTAAGTGCATACGCACAAGTGTACATATGTATATGATTGTTAAATGCATTCGAATACTTTGCATTCTTAATATCCCAAAGTAAAAAATTTGAATTCATGTAAGATTAAAATTTAATTTTTGCGAAAGCAAATAAAAGTTTAAAAGCTCATAGAAAGTAATAGCAAAATATTTAAATTTTTAATGAATTTGCTATAAAATAAAAATTTTAAATGAGATTTTTATAACTTTTTTCTCTTTGTACCAGCAGGTGCCATATCAGCTACTTTCAGGGGATAGAATATGCTCGTGAACCCGCATGGCGTTCGGACGCCAAAATTGAATATAACTTTTTAACCCTTCGTCGGGCGCAACTGATCTGTGAGGCACAGCCAAGACATTTTTTTAGTTCGCCGTGCCCTTTCATACCGTTAACTTTGCTGACGCTCAGTAGCTGGCTCTTTTGAAGTGCTCTATACAGCAAAACCCTTCAGTTTTTGTTTAACTCCCAGAACGAGAAGTTATGCGGAATTTGATCTGAGAAGCTCATTGTGCCCAAACTCGTCAAATGTATTAAATTTTTAGAATTATTTTCTTTTTTATTTTATTATTCATCTAAAAGTAGCTATTACGTGCATGTCCCAGAGTTGAATTTTTGTAGAATCTTTGCATTTTTTTTAAGATTTTTGTAGTAGCTGCTAAATTAAAAAAATTACATTTGAATGCTTCCACTTTTTGGAAAATACTTGAAATTAATTTCAAATGTCTGCAATTACTTAAAAAATTATTCATAAACATTTTTCCGTAGACAGACTTTTTTAAAAAATGTATTTCATTTATTATTTATACTAATATATATTTTGAAAGCCGTTTTTTTTCGTTTTTTTTCTGTTCGGAAAACTCGAGAACAGCTGTACCGATATTTTTGAAATTTCAACTCCAGACTATCCAAGGCTGATAATAGATCAAGGCTGATCAAACGATTTCGATATATCAAGAGGGCGTGGCACCTATTTAAATTACTCCCATTTTTTCCATGAGTTTGGCGTTGATAATATATATCTCTATACCAAGTTGCAGCACTCTACGAGNCCAGACTATCCAAGGCTGATAATAGATCAAGGCTGATCAAACGATTTCGATATATCAATAGGGCGTGGCACCTATTTCAATAACTCCCATTTTTTCCATGAGTTTGGCGTTGATAATATATATCTCTATACCAAATTGCAGCACTCTACGAGGAATACATCCAGAGATATGTTGTGTGAAAACTCTAGTTTGTATGGGAGGTGCCACGCCCCCTTGAGATATCGAAATTATTCTTCTTCTATTATCATCCTTTGAGGGTGAAGAGTCGAGGTCCAAAATTTCAAAAATATCGAGTTTTTCGATTAGAAAAAAACGGCTTTAAAAATATTTTTTAATTAAATGTTTCCTACGGAAAAATGTTTATGAATGGTTTTTTAAATAATTTCAAGCATTCGAAATTAATTTCAAGTATTTTCCAAAAGATTGGNTCCTTTGAGGGTGAAGAGTCGAGGTCCAAAATTTCAAAAATATCGAGTTTTTCGATTAGAAAAAAACGGCTTTAAAAATTAATTTTTTAATTAAATATTTCCTACGGAAAAATGTTTATGAATGGTATTTTAAATAATTTCAAGCATTCGAAATTAGTTTCAAGTATTTTCCAAAAGATTGGAAGCATGCAAACGTAATTTTTTTTTTTCTTCATTTTTGAACATAAATAAATAAAAAATCAGAGCTTTTTAAAAAATCGACATAGATAGATCGACGCGAAATTCAGCTAAAACAAGCATCTCAGAAGAAGAGGAGGGATGCCTTTTCAGGAAGAAGGAAATTTAAAAAGACGTGATTGAGAAAAGTTTGTTGTTGTTGTGGAGAGGCAAAAATTTCATTTAAAAATATGGCGGCAATCAAAAGATTTCAAAACTACGTCTGGTTCCTACAGTCTCCAGGGTACACTAGAGATATGGAGAGAACACTTCTCACTGCTTGCTTATGAAGGGCAACGCAAGTGGCGTGCTTGTTGAAGAAGACTCCGTGGTTAAGTAAATGGACGATGCTTAGAATATACTGTTCCGTTTCTAGAGTGGAGGGATATTTTTATTCGACTTTCCAGAATATTTGCCTGCAGTATTGAGACCGGTTTGGCAATTTTTGTCCACCAACTTTTTCGATTGAGCCGAATATGCTGCGGTACGCACTGAACGAGTACTCTCTGATATTAGCTTGAGAATGTCAAGCTTTTCTTTGTTGTTACTCATGCGCATTGTCGTCCTTAGGCAGTAGTTTAACAATCGATTTCGATAGTTTCCATGTATTTTTAATTTAAATGACAATTTTATGGAACGAATTTAAAGATTTAAAGATTTAAAAAATTTAAAAATTTTCTTTTTTAATCAGCATCTATATTATGTAGCAGCATCTATTAAGAGCATCTAGATGCATTTCTTAATCAAATATAAAATTTTGAAAAAAGTATCGCTTGCATCTTTTTGGCGGTTAGAGCTCAATATTATTGTTTTCGCTGGGATTTGGAAATACTTAAACTCCCAA